CTGAATAAATGTTTTTTGTGTATGTGTATATATACACACACACATATTTATAGGTGTATGTATACACATACATATAAAATATATGTATTTGAGTTATGAATGTATTGCTTGTGACTAGACTTGGACAAGTATATATAATCTCTATGCTGTAGAAAGGACCTCTTAGCATTCATATTTCTGATAATAGTTTATTTTCCATAGAAAGCTGCTGTTCCCAGGGTTACGTTTTTATGACTAAGGTAGCTAAACTTTTCAAACGGGCAAAATGGCAAGTCTTGTTTCTCTCCAGTTGTTTGTTTTAGCACACACACCTTGCCTGTGTAGTAGTAGTTTTGAAGCAACAAAAATAATTTAGATTTGCTGTTGATTTTAGATCTTTTTCCTCCTCCAGTTCCAAGCAAATAAAAAGAACTTGTCTTTTCCTTTTCAGATGAAGGGACTAATTTGACTCAAGGAGGTGATGCTGGAGATGCAATAGGTTGCCAGCAGCTTCAAGGCAGGAAAGAACAGATGTAGAGAGAAGGTGCCCGTTTTCCCTTCTTATGTGGTATTCGCTAGTGAGTCAGCATAGCTACAAAAGTCGATGTTGTCTTTCTCTCCCCTTTGTGTCCAAACACTATCCTGTCCTCACAGGAAGGCTGCAGGGAGACAGATGGTAATTAACTAAGGATTGGCAGATGTTGGCATGAGGCTAAACATCCCCCTCCTCCACTTTTTGCAGGTCTTCTTGAGCACTGAATATAGGGTCAACATAACCATCCCTTCACCTTGACATACAGGCTCTAAGCATACACTTGGAGAAGCTGTTTTGTTTCCATGTCTGCCTTTCCTCTCCCCGTTTCATTAGGTATCCAGATTAGCCATTGTGATGATGTGTTTGTAATTAGGCCAGTTGTGTGGTGGTACCGAAGTCTGCCACTAATTCATTGATAATTGTTGCCAGGAAAGTTCATGTTTGAACTAGTTGCACAGCTTTCTTAGTATCTTTCTTTTTATGCCAAAGGAGTTGTTACAAGCAAAGCACTATAAAAGGAAGATAGTTACGCTGATTTTTCTTACATTATCTTCCCAGAGAACTAACAAGTCTTGGGTCTGGATGATAATTTTAAAAAGTCTTGGTACAGAATATAGACAGTTATTAGAGTCATTTGTGATAATAACTATTCAGATAATAATCCAAATATTTTCAAGCATTCCATTTTCAGCTACAAGTAGAAAATCTTGGTGGGACCCTGTGGCGGGAAAAAAGCAACACAAAAAATCGGTGTACTGTTATTGAAAACCTAACTTTTACCCTAATGAAAGTAGCCTTGGGAAAAATGGGTAGATGGCCTTGGGAGTAAGGGACTGAATTTTGGACTGAAGAGTTCTGTTGAATTCTTGCCTCTATCAAAGATCAGATGTGTGAACCTGGCTCATCTTTCTTTTTTTTTTCCCATCCCTCTTTATATAAACTGGAGACCACAGAAATAGTTGTAATTTCTGAAAACTGAAACATCATAATTGCCCATAAGAACCAAACAGAAATATTGAAACAGTAACTTTAAAATCAATTTGATTCCATGATAATTGTTCTGGATCAGACAAAAAATTATTAGATAACACTTGGGGTTTTTATAGTGACCTCAGGCTTGTTTGAGTTGTTTCGTCTCAACATCTGGAAGTGGAAACAATTGCGTGACTGAGACAAACTCACAGGGAGGCATGGAAGCTGGGGAGAGGATCACCTGCCCTGTCCCCAGTGTTTCCCACAATAGCGCATGGCTTGTCTCCAGTTGCCTGGATCAAGCACACTCCTGTCCTGCCATCCACTAAGGAATGTGAGAAAGGCCAGTGTGTGAAAGAAATGGAAGTGAAATTGTGAGTGGGAAGTATTAAAGATCTCGTAGCTGTAGTAAATTCTGCACAGATAGTGCCAGAGGTATTAAATATATAAATTTATCTCTTAACAGTGTAGGACACCGGTAGGTTGCTGGGGAAGCCAGGCTGATGGGATGTAATGGATGGCTGAAAGACAAGTATCACACAAACATCTGCTATTGAAGATCTAAAAGGACAAATCCAGGAGAAAAAGGAGTCAGTGTTATTCTATTGGGAGTTTAAATTACAGTTTACCTTGGGAAGATGCAAAGTTCCTGTACTAAACTGTTTTTCCTCTAGTATGGAGAGCAGCACTGGACTCTGTGACACAGGGTCAGAGAATGGAAGGGAGGGTCTGAGCATCATACGCGGGTGAGCTCTGTATCAAGGAAGAAATGGAAAAGAGAAGGTAGGGGACGGCTGTGGTGTGGTTCTGGTTTGGAGGGCAAACATCCCTTGTGCTGGACTGAGTCATCCCTGCGCAGGAGTATCAGCTTTTGGTCAAGTGGTTATTTGAACTGGGATGGGAAAGCATATTTTTTATAGAGTTCCAGCTTGGGTTGCTCAAAGATTTCAACACAACAGTACAGACTTGGTTCTGGTTTTAGGAGAAACAACAGTTTGAGACAGCTTTTTGGGTTGGCTTAGTTCAGCACGTGGCAAGGATGGCTGTCGTTGTAGCACGGTCGAGCGTTACACCAGAAATGAGAAGCTGCTGAATTCTCCTGTCTCCCCACCCTTTTTCCTCCCAGCTGATTTCAATGAAGTAGAGGTGATTTGCAAGCAGTCCCTTCCCCACAGCTATCAACAAATCCCAGGTTGTGAACTGATCAGCTGGAAGACTGAGCTACCTTCACTGTAATGTGCAGTGGCAGAACATTATGGGAAAAGCAATGTAGCTGCTTCCCATATTGTACCAGTGCATAAAAGACTTTGCTTTTCAGAGTTGTCAGTCTCTCATTTTCATGAACTCTGCTACATGCAGTGAATTATTTCTTTTCTCCCCTCAGACAAAGACTATGCAGTTAAATTCCAATGTTTTCTAACTTAAACATTTTCTTATCTTTTCTTGGCTAAAAATAAAATCTCCTATGATTTTCATTTTTGAACTTGCATTTTGTAGAATCTGGAAGGGAACACAGTTCCTCAGACTATGTTCATTTCGCAGGCAGCAAGGTGACATTGAAACTTGTCTTGAAAGAAAGAAGAAAGTGTCAGACTCAGTGCGGTTATGTTCTTGTTCCATCTCTGCACCTTTCCCCTCCATGCGCATGCACTCATCTCCTCTGGGTTGCTGAGCCAGCTCCAGAGCCTGCAGGTGCTGAGTGCTGGTCTGCAGGATGACAGAAGGGCACCTGAGTTAGAAAGCTGCCCCCTGAAGCTGTGCTGGAAGTTACCATCCCAGGTGTCTGTTCTCAAGCTGCAAGAGCTTATCTTAAATCTAGGCAGCTTACTGATATCTTGGGGCACTTTGATGCAACAGTCCCTGTCAATCAGCACAGCAAAAATGTTGGGCAGCCTGTATATTTCTGAGTGCGTCAGTCTTGCTGCCACTGTTAAGCGTTTATGATTTCTTCTAAGCTATTCTTTATGTATCTTAGGTTTATTTTCATCGTTAATATGGAAACTCCTGTTCAGAATGTGAATTTCTTCAGGGCAGCTCCTTCTAGCGTGTTGTCTTACAGGGCGGTTTTGGAGGCACCCTCTATTCATTATCCTTTATCACTTTTGAGGCAAGGAGTACTTGCGCCAATAGAGCTTTTTTTAACTGCGACTGGATTTTCAATCTTTATTTTCATCTGCCCAGATGTGACAGAGCTGCTCATACCAACAGAGAGAAAGCATGCATTAAGCTAACATTGAAATAATTGCTAATTGCCATCCCAACGGCTCTACCAAGAGATGCCCACAAACCATGTGCTTTGTCAGGTCTGCAGTATTTTCAGGTCAAAAAGAAAATTTGCTCACTTTTTTAAAAACAAAGTAAAACTTTACATTTTTGAGATAGGGCTTGTCCTGATTGGTGTTTAAGCGAGCGGTGCAAATGCTGAGGGTCAAATACCTGAAAAATGAGACAAAGAAAAAAGTAAGCTTATATGTTTATGACAGTGCACAGTATTTCAACTTTTAAAAGGCAAGGTGTGTGTTCGGTGGTCATACCACTGGCAGAGTTCTGTTACTGACTAGATTAAAACAGAGAAAATAGTCTTGTGGTGGAAGCGCGGGGTGAAGAATCTATTTTCAAGTGAGCCGGGGGTCAGTTCTTACAGGACAGACATTTGATATGCGTGTTACAATACGTAGATTATCTATCTTTCTTTAAAAGTGGAAAATGCAAATGTGGCCAAGTTAATTTAAACAGCTTTCAGCTAAACTGATGAAAGCAAATAATAGGTTACAGTAAGGTGGAAGCCAGCACGAAATCAAAACATAGCTTTTCAAGACAACTTTCTATCAATGTATGGACACTTGAATTTATAGATAGGGACCCACTGAGTGTTTCAAAATTATATAGACAGTTGAGGCATCTAAATCTGGCTGAAATCTATAGAAATGAGGTTCCTGTGCTGCTACTTGCTTTTGAAAGTCCTCCTGGATTCTGTCTATTGGACTGACCAGCATGGAAGTCCATTTCTTAGCCACATTTCTGCTGCCTGGTTTCCAGAACAGAGATACTGAATGAGGATTCTCCAGGGATACGAGGGTTAATGTCCTCATGGGCAGAGGAATAGTTGTCCTGAGAGACTTCCCAGGAAAGCATCTGTGTCCTGAAACACGGCTTGGCAGATCTACTGGCTGTGGTAGGGCCCTAGGGATATACAAAAAGGCAAAGTGCAGAGGGGAGGGGTAGCTGTATGGAGGTTAGAGAAGTCAGAAAAATCATTTCAATTCCCGATCACGCTGCCAGCAAATGGGCTTTCTGGACCTTGCTTATCATTTAGACGTGTGATGTCTATATTGTTGTGCAGTGGCTAGTCACAATTTTAAACACAGTGATGGGCCTATGAGGAGGTGGCCCAATTTTGAAGAGGGTTGATCTTTTTCTTCTTTCAGAGAAAATTAAAATCACTTCATATCCTATTTTTGTTTTGTTCTTCCATGGAACACTTTGTCTAAGAAGCTTTCTTCTTTTCTTGCAGTCCTCATTCCATCCCAGATCGCCTGCGGATCAGAGTGAACAGGATTAATTTACAAGAATACGAGGGGCTACATTACGACAAGGAAAAACTCCGGGAAGCTTGTAAGTTGGAAGAAGCCAATTGTAGCTGCTTTTGGTAGAATATTCTGTATAAATGTTACATCAACAAAAATACCCCAAAACCAACAACAAAAAAAATCCCAAACCCAAACAACACCCAAAGCATACATTTTGGATGAGTCACGTGGAGTGTATGTTCATCTATCTGTGCATATGCACATACATGTTCTGTCTGTGTTAATACTTTCTCTATAAAGAGCATATATAGAGAATTCACCTGTTTTCTTACTTAACAATGCCTTCTGCAGGTCAATTTTTTTTTTTCTTACTGTAAAATAAGTTTTTGCCACCTGTTCTTTTTAATTCATGTCTCTCTTAATGCTTCTGGGTTTCTACTTGTGTATGAAACTATTCAAAGTTTTATGATTAGCATCAAATTTGAAATTGACTGGGGGGCTGTGATTAATTTCATACTGCTCTGACCATGAGCATGGTTCTTGCACAGGTGCATTTATCCTGGGAAACAAGTCTGTCTTCCCCAGTCTCTTATGCTTTAAGAGCTCCAGTTTTCCACAGAAGAGAATAATCACTGTTTTGTTTCTTCATGTAATGGTTTAATTGCCACATTCGGGGGTAAGTCAAAAGCAGACAGCCGGTTGCTTTGGCAACATTGATGATGACAATCCGTGCTTAAAAATGGAGTTCCTTTGCTTGCTGACACACGAAGTCATTAATCAGAGGGACACGGCTGCTTGTGATAACAGTTTAATAGTCTTGTTCATGCATCTGGCTCATTTTTTGTATTAAATTACAAGCATGACTGTTTGTTGTGCAACAAAGCTTCATCTCCCTCTGTAATACAGAGCTCTGATAATTACAGGATGACAATCCTTTAAATTGGTTTGCTTATCTTACTGTTAGAAGATAGTTAAACTGTTTCACTCGTCTAGTCCCACCCCTCCTTATTCTCCCAGTTCACCAGCTCTCCTTCCAACAAAAGAACTAAAATGGCTTGAATTTTAATACAGGTCCTGACAGCCTTTTCTGAAGTTTCTGTTAGTGGATTTTAGTTGTAGTTAAAACAGTCAAAGTCTTCATCACTGGACTGAGAAGAATTTCACCAGGGTAGGGATTACGGCTCACTGGAGAGGAATTTGCTTCAAGTTTAAATTGAGAGTTTGACCTTGAGTAGACTGGAAGCCATATTGAACACACATCTGTCCAACTCTGTCAGAAACAATCGGGTTCATTTGGTGGTTCTTCCTATGGTTTCCTGTATGAGGACAACTGTCCTCATCCATCCTCACTGTGGATGTAAATTTTGTGTGTGTACTCAGTATATAGTATGTAGTCCTTCAGAGGCATTTAAATGTTCTGGCAAAAGATACACAACCTATTGTTACACTGTTATTGCTGCAATTGTAAATGGGTATTTATATTATTTGTCGATTGCAAAAACCCATAATGATAACATCATAAAAAATGCATGGAGAATGATCTTGTACCTCTGAGATCTCGTTTTAGATTACACATGCATTTGATCACTTGCTGGGTGGGTGCTTAGGAGGTTTTAATTCAAAAAAGTAGAAGTTTGTGCATCAAAAGCTAAAATGGTTGCTTTCAGGCATTGGCAGGCCATTTTCAGTAAGATCCTTTTGTGTCTCTTTCAAGTTGCTGCATGGCCATCTTAATACAACATATCTGGACTGGAGTATTCTCCCCAGACCCTTTTGATGAAGTTGCTTTTCCTATCTGTCTTCCTTTTGCTGTCTCAGTAATGCTTGTGCATTACTGTTTTTACATTAATATATGAGAAAGCAAATAATATCCCCATCAGCCTAAAATAAATCAGAAAAAATACCTCACTTTACCCTGTGCAGTTACTAGGAATGTCCTGTGTAAGGAACTTACAGCGTACGCTGATGGTCATCAGCCTACTTCTCTGGGCATAGAACTTAAGTGTCTCCTATCAGAATTGTCCGACCTTTAGTTTTCAGGAGGCTGATCTTGATTTGAGGACTTCTGAGTGATACTAATAATGACTAATGAAAATTATGTAAAGGAAGAGAAGTGCTCTCTAAATGCTCAGAAATCAAACTGTTTTAAATATTCTAGCCAGCTCCTTGAATTCCATGAAGTAAAAAATGGAAAATGACTGTGGTTCACTGAGCATAGACCTAATGTTCCAGTTTTCCTGTGACTTACTGCAAGATGCTTGCATCTCTTCTGGAAACTGGAACAACCTCATGCACCAGTACAGGCTTGGGGTGGACCTGCTGGAGAGCAGCTCTGTGGAGAGGGACCTGTGCGTCCTGGTGGACGACAGGTTAACCATGAGCCAGCAGTGTGCCCTGGCTGCCAAGAAAGCCAATGGAATCCTGGGGTGCATCAAGAAGAGTGTGGCC